TTGCCTCGCTTGTATTGCTGCATTGCATGCATTTTACTGTATTTGCTTGCTTTCTTTTCTGTTTATCCCCTAGGATCTCTGATTTCCTCTGTGCAGGAGGGAATTATGACAGACATTAGGATTCTTATCCACGCATGACAACATTAGGTTAGTTTTATTCCCTTTTCAACCCTAGATTTTTTAGAGCTTCTTTCTCTTCTTATCTCAAAACAATTCAAAAATACAGTAATAAGGTTAATCGATGTCGTACGTTACGAGCCTTAAGCTATTTGAGAAAAGGTTGTTGGAGGGTCACTCTTCAGTAATCTGACTGCTTAGTATGGTACCCTTAGGGTGACATGCGACGTAGTCACTCTCAAATCATAGTTTCTAGTGCGTCAGAGATTGCAAACAAACTAAAAAACACTTCTTTCGTAAAAGATTCAAAACAAACATCAAAGTGTCATTTTTGTCCGCTTGGACTCTTAATCAGGAAAACCCTTTTTGAAGGTAATAAAAACAGTCAGACAAGCTCGTGTCTTCCGTAGCCCAAACTACGTTTGCTATGATCTTTCATGCCGTATGAAAGTACGTAGGCATAGGATGCGATATCCTAGCGAGCAACCTTCCCCTCCTTTCCCGTAGGTAGGCGAACTACATTGACTCTGATTTCTCGTTCCAGACGGGAATACGTAGGCATAAAGTGCGATACTTTGCCGAGTCATTTTCTTTTCTTTTTAACCCAGACCTGTAGAATAGATAGAATAACAATCCGTACTAGAAAACAAGCGTGGATCCCGTCGAGTACGGCGGACGTGAGGGGTGCTAATACCTTCCCCTTGCGTAACCGACTCCCGAATCCAAGATTTGGTTGCGAAGACCATTCCTTTCCCTCTTTGCGTTAGGTTTACTCTGAGTGTTTCCTTTCCCTCTTGTGGGATAAATAACGCACGGTGGCGACTCTTCTGTCATAGCCGATGCCGATTTTCGCAGTAGCGACAGTTAACACCTTTGAAAATCCTAATTTACCCTAATTTTGCCTTGGTTAATCGATTAACCATATAGGTTAACCGATTAACACCTCCAAAATTTGAATTTTGGCGCCTTTTGGAGGGAAATCTGTCTGTTTGTCCGTTCCTTGCCGTTTGGAGCTCTGTTAAGCTTATGAATCCCGTTCTTGAATGTTACAACTGTAAGAATGCTTGATATGAGCCTGAGTTCTGCTTCCTGAGCTGAAAAATGCCCCTGTAAAATAAAATAAAATCGATTGCTCGGTTGCCGGGAAAAATAAATGCCAGGGACTCTGATGCTTGCTGTTTCGGTCCATGCACTAAGATGAAAACTGAGCCACGGAAACCTTGATTCCCTATCTCAAGAACGAATGCTACGCAATGCAGAAAATGCAAAAAATGCGAAAAGGAATATAAGCTAAGTACAAAAAGGTTGAGTAAATTTTGGGGTGCAACAATCACCAATACTATTGTAGGTCCTCAACCAGCCGTTACTATCGCGAATGTACCTCCTTATGGTCTTCAACCCAGTTTGGTGCCTCCTCCTATTGCTCAACCAATTCAGCAAGACCGTTCTCCAAAATCCTAAACTCCGAGCTTTGACCATCATAAAAGACTTACACGCCAGAGGAGTCTCTCGAGCAGGTATAACCGCAAAATGACTGCTCATCAACCGTGGCGAAGTCAGCCTAATTATGTTCAAGGTTATCCAGTTCAGTATGCTCAACAACCCTATGTAGCTGCTATTGCACCTCCCTTCAATCAGCAGTTTCCTACATATCAGCCTGTGCAATCGGCTCCAATCTATCAGTCTCCGGTATATCAATCACCTCCTGTTTATCAACCTACACCAGCTCCTGTCAACTATCGACGAGCGCCCAACGCTCCTGCCAATCAACAGCCTAAGAAGCAAGCACCTCGTCAGAATGGTCCGAATGGGAAACAATACGAGTCTTTTCCTCCGATTCCGATGACTTTTACCGAGTTGTACCCCTCATAAGTGCAACAAGTTCTGGTTGTTACCTGATCTTTGGGTCCACCTGCCAATTACAACGCCACCGCTCACTGTTTATTTCATGAGGGTACGCCCGACCATGATTTGGAGAATTGTTATGCTCTTAAGAACCTTGTCAGAGATTTGTTGGAAAAGAAGATTTTGTCTTTTAATGATCCTCAGCCAAAGATCAGGACTCCTCTCAGGGTTTTCCATTTGTCAAGATCAAGCTCAGCAAAACCTGTTCTCAACCTATCTCAGCCAGTTACTTCTCTCGTGAATCAGCTAAAGCCGATAATTATTCAGAAGCCTAGTCCATTTCATTTCAGTATTCCTCAAGATGAGGTGACCACGATCGAAAAAGAATCTTGGAAAGTTATTCTGAAGGAGGATTTGAAGACTGATAGTAAAACCGTGACCAACATAGCTAGGGCAAGCAGAATGACTCGCAGTGGTCGTGTTTACACTCCCCGTTTCAACGAGGCTCCGCCAGAGGAAGCCACTACTACCATGTCGGTCTTGGATACAAAGACTTCATAAACACCTTTTGAAGTACTTGTCGAACAGTTCATTTCGTTTTCTAATATGTGTTTTATTTCTTTTGTAAAAGCATAATTAGCATGTACGAACTCGCTTATTTTGAATAATTAATGCATATGTTTGTCTTGGAGAAATCCATTTGTTTCAATCACAAAAATATTTTTTCATAATCTATAATGCCAACTTTATCCAATCTCTCACTTTGATAGAGATTTGGGAGGAGGAGGATGAACCAAAAATGTCAGACCTCTTGTCATATGCTTTGGATTGAAACCTGCTGATGATGTAAGGAATTGTTTCAAATCCAAAAAATTGGAGATATAAGGATGATAATCATTCTTTAACCCCTTTGAGCCTTGAAGTAGGAGTTTTTTCTTTTCCAAATAAAAACCCTAATCTTAACCTGGGGCAGGGTAGTTTTTCAGTACAAACGATCGAGTGCTCAGACCCTCATAAAGGAGGAGCGAACCTTCGAGAATCTATCCTTAACATATTAGGAGAGTAGAAGTCAAAAAAATACAATGACCATCCCTCTACTACTTAAAGAGTGGGGAAGTCACAAGCTAACAAAAGATTCACACGACTTGTTCAAAAAATATGAATGATAGAACCCGCTAAGTCAAAACCTATGAAGGAGACTTAGGCAAAACTGGGGCATCCCGCTGGAATCCAAAGTCAGATCCAAAAGACGCCGTCCAGGCAAAAGTTAGGGAATAAAAACGCAAAAAAACAAAGGGTACCATAAGGAATCCCTAATAAATAACAAAGTCGTATGACCAAACGCCAAAAGAAATAGGTGAGTGACTGCCATGTCCAAAGCCTTGATGAGTTCTCGACCATATCAAATCCGATTGAGATATGAGCGCTCGTGTCCAGTTTACTGAATTAGGATTAGAAAACATCACGAAGAATGAGTGGGTGCAACAAATTTGAGCCTTTATCCTTTGTTTCTTAAACCGTGAACCAAGCCGCGATACAACCATTAAAAGACCTAATTGAAGTAGGAATTCTTTTGAAAGCATACTCGACGAGATAACGTTTCCTGACTCCAACGAGCTATGCTCAATTTAACATTAGCATTATAAAATACACTCATATCCTAACTAGTGATTTCTGTCACAAGTTACTGTGATATCTTTTTCAAAACAAAACAAAAACAAAAAATTTCAAGACAAATATATATGTTGCATTGATAGTTTCAGGATTAGCATTTCACGCGTGTTGGTTTTGCCTGATATCTTAGAAACTTGCATATAGATGTCGTCAATGGAACTTGAAGATCCTGCTAAACAGGGGCAGGTGGTTTCCAAGTCGTTTATTGAGGCAAGCCTGACTCTCTCAAGAGCTATTTCTGGAAGATTTATTCATGACACCGTCGAGCCGAGCTAGTTACGTCGAGATCCAACAAATCTCTCCAAGAGTTTGAAAACAGTGGGGTAACCTGTCTCCACGTTCTCTATAAAATCCTCTTGAGATGACTCTTCCCTCATAAAGCAGGTACGCTGGGGCATTATGTCTTTCAGAATGACGACTACTACAGAGTCCATCAAGACCAAAACTAGCATTTGTTTCACAACATTCTTCATGCACCCGATGAATTTCACTCCCGGCGGTCTCCATTCCCCAGTAAATCTCATCATTGCAGAACACTTCTAAGCCATTGCCTCAGAATAGTCCCCAGCGAGACTTTAAACTAACATAGTCCCCAACGAGACTTTAAATTGACACAGTCCCCAGCGAGACTTTAAGCTGACACAGTCCCCAACGAGAATTTTTTTCTGTCCTGCCATTCTTTTGGGAGCTAATTTCCTTAATGCCACTCTTTTCAACTTATATCCCAAACTGTCATCATTTCAAACAAATAAAATTTTTGGTTTAACACTACCGCCCTTTCAATGGGCGGCAGAGACTGAATTTTTAGGCAACCGCCCTTCCAATGGGCGGCAATGTCCTTTTCTGAATTTTTTTTTCGTTTTAATTTTTAAATATTTTAAAATGTTATAAATATATATTAATATTAATATTAATATATATTAATATTAATATTAAAATTAATATATATTGATTTTAATATATATTAATATTGATATATATTAATATATATATATATATATATATATATATATATATATATATATATATATTAAAATTATTATATATTATTATTATTAATAATATTAATATATATTATTAATATATATTTTAAAATTATTATATATTATTATTTACATTACATTAATTTATGTTATTATTATCATTAATATTAATATATATTTTAAAATTATTATATATTAATATATATATTATTATTATTATTATATATATTAATTTACATTATTATTATTAATATTATCAATAATGTTAATATTAATATAATCATTTAATGTGTAATATAAATTTATATTTTGTAATACATAATTTATATTAATTGATATCATTAACTAATATCATTTAATACATGATGATTAATAAAAACACTAACGATTACTTGTTCCCACATTGGGACACCGGGTTCGATTGTGGGTCGTTTGACGACACATTGAACATTTTCTCTCAAGCTTATCAAAGTTATCCATTTCGGTTGTAATACATGTGCTTACTGGGCGACCTTTCTTGTTCCTCCGCATTCTTGGGTTATGGAAAATTCGATCTCCTTCATAAACGGGCCAATATTTATCGTACGGCATCACTGGAAAGCTATTGCTGTAAACCCCAAACAGGTTTGTAACCCTATAAACGTCAGACAAAAGAGCGTAAGCATCGTGGAGCACATTCGAACATGCAGCGATAACATGTGAGCAAGGGACACGAAATGCTTGAAACTTTCCGCAGTCACACCATCCGTTCAAGAGGTCGACCTTATAATGTCCCATAGGCTTCCCCTCACCATGGTCCATTGTCTCCTTCACATTGAAAACATTGTTAGCATAGTCTAAAATTTTGACTTGATGTGTGCTGGATTTTGTTGTTTCTTCTTTCATCACCTTGAGGCAGTTGTCTGTAAATGTTTCGCCAGAATTCAACACAGCACTCCACTTTGAACCCCGTTCAGCAAATAAAGATCCCAGCCTATAATATGTTGCCCTTACCAATGTTGTAATGGGCAAATGACGTGTGCCTTTAAAGACAACATTCATTGACTCAACAAGTTTGGTAGTCATGTGACCCCAACGTCGAACCCCGTCAAATGCTCTTGTCCATTTTTCGACTGGAATATTGTCAATCCACCTTAAAGCATTTGCATTTGCCATGCCAATCTTTGACCGATAGTAATGAAATGTTGGTTGGTTTAAATCGTACCCTGAATAATTAAAATATCAATAAATACATGTTATTGACAAAATTTAATGTATATTATGAAATATAGTGAATAAATATTATGCAAAATATAGTTACTCATGTTAATTATTTTTTTCCGTAGGTTCCTGTCCTTGATTTTTCTCATAAAATTTTGTGCAATGTGTCGGATACAATAAACATGCACTGATGGGGGATCATGCCAACCATTCTCCACATTGTTGTATGCACTTTCAATTGATGCATGTCGGTCTGAAATTAAACATAGACCTGGTTGTGACGCAACATGCCTCCTTAAGTTTCTCAAAAAAAATCCCCAACCTTCAGCGGTTTCACCTTCCACAAGGGCAAAAGCAACAGGAAATATATTGTTGTTGCCATCTTGTGCCACTGCGATAAGCAGTGTACCCTTGTACTTGTCGTATAACCAGGTTTCGTCAATTTGAAGTATAGGTTTGCAATAGGAAAAACCCCTGATGCATGGTTGGAATTCCCAAAATAGCCGGTGGAAGATGTGTTTCCCTTCAACAATAGTTCCGTTAGCTGTATACATGGGTAAGGTTTCTATTTCCAGCACAGTGCCCGAAACAAATTTTTTAAGTGCTAACAGAAAATGTGGAAGTTCATTGTATGAGCTCTCCCAATTACCGTACACTTGTTCAATTGCTTTATTTCTTGCTATCCATGTCTTTCTGTAAGACGGAGTAAAATTGTATTTAGAAACAATTTTACTTATGCAAACACTAACCTTAATAGAAGGATCCTTGTCTACAAAAGGCATTAATTTCTGAGACATTAACTGCGAGGTTAGTTTTTGATGATCCTGATTAAACAAAGTTGTTGAGCAACTATGAGGTGGGTTCATAATGCCTATCTCCCACAAGTCACTTCTTTTACGGTAGGACGCCAATAGACGAAACTTGCAGGAATCATTCTTGTAACAAATTATGTATCTCTTCTTGTCGGAATCTGTCACTTTATAATCCACGCAGTGTTTCATGTGGTATTGCTTAATGGCAGCAACACAGTCAGCTTTATTTTTAAATTGGTTAGCGACTTCTATGTCACCCTCCATTGGAATATGAGGAGTCTGTGGCCAATCAAATGATGTTGTTTCTACATTTAATGGCAGGGTTGTCATATGTGCCGGTGGGGTGAATACATTCTCAACTGGAATGTATTGTTCATCTTTGTTGACTTCGTTGACAATGTTCCCTTCCTCAAACAAAGTAGAAAATAAATCATCAACCTGTGCCTCGTTTTCTTCTTCGCCGTCTTCTTCTTCGACTGCTTCGTGTGGAATTATGGACGGATTGATGACCTGAGAAATTTGAGTTTCTTCACATTGTGCAAATGTTACATATAATTCAATGTGTTGAAACCCAAAACATTCATGATTCGAGAACATCGTTTCAACATCCTCGTCGTCACGAACCTTTAGTGGAACAAATTTAAAGCGATTGTCCCCAAAATGGACAATATTTTTGTACATAATCTGTGACACTGATCCAGCTTTCACCTTCATCTGTAACCTATCTTTAAAATGTTGGAATGACGATCTTTTATTAACACTGAAACGACTTACGTCAGTGTTTTCAAAGATCAAACCGACTTCATCTGATACAACAACACTCCCATTGAAATTAGCATTAACAATGTATTTGTGGCTAGAAGACATTATGTAAGATAGTATTAGAAATGAGTGGATTATTTGAAGAAATAATTGAGTGGAATATTTGAAGCAAGTAGTAGAAATTGAGTGGAATAAATATAGAAGATAGTAGTAGTAGAAATTGAGTGGAATAAATATAGAAGATAATAGTAGTAGAAATTGAGTGGAATAAATATAGAAGATAGTTGAAAATTTTAACAGAAAATGAGTAGTTTAAATAAAATTTGGAGAAAGTTAGTAGAACTTAATACGTCAATGCATGCAATGAAGAAAGTTGGTTAACAAAGGTTAAATGTTGCCGCTCATTGATGGTGCGGTTGTCAGGAAAAGTGGAGAAGAATCAAGGTTGCCGCCCATTGAGGATGCGGCTTATCTGAAAACTGCAGACCACATTAAAGGTTGTCGCCCATTGAAAGTATTCCTGCCGCCCAGTCAAAGCACGTGAGTCTGAAAAGTGCAGACAACATTAAAGGTTACCGCCCATTGAGGATGCGGCTTGTCAGGAAAAAAGCAGCATAACCGCCCATTGAGGGTGCAACTTTTACACGAAACCAAGGTTTCCGCCCATTGAAAGGGCGGTTGTCTTCAGCCTTCACACAGGTCTGCACCCATGCATGCAGACACATACAAGCATTGAAACCCTAATTTTTTTAACAGCATTTCATTTATTTTTCTACCATCCTTATCTCATACCATTTAATTTTTTACATATCTTTATCTCCTATAAATTTCTACTACCAATCCTTACTACCAATTTGAAAATTTTTACTACCAATCCTATAAATTTCTACTACCAATCCTTACTACCAATTTGAAAATTTTTACTACCAATCCTATAAATTTCTAGTACCAATCCTTACTACCAATTTGAAAATTTTTACTACCAATCCTTAGCTTTATCTCCTATAATTCTACCCATCCTTATCTTTATCTCCTATCTTACACTATAACTCTTACTCTTGAAAATGGTTCTACTCACTTTAGGAGATGACCATCGCGGTACACTTGAAAACATTGCATCCTATGTAAGTTTATTTATATTTATTTACACAATTCACTTTAGTAAAGTTCAAATATTTTGTTTATGATGTTAGTTACATTCAAATATTTTTTTGTAGGATGAAAAAAATTTCAAACCATGCTCGCATAAGTACATAGAGCCTGATGAGGTTATCAAACCATATTTGATTCGAGCGGGTTTCGGTCACGTCATCAATATAACATCATATGGAATTGATCGCAAATTTCTTCTCGCGTTGTGCGAAAGATGGCGACCAGAAACCCACACTTTTCACCTCCCCACGGGGGAATGCACAGTGGCACTTGAGGATGTCCATATGTTGTTGGGTCTCCGTGTCGATGGGTCAGCGGTTGTGGGTGACACAAATGTTAACTATGCATTAGTAGAAGAACTATTAGGGGTGCCTTTGGAACGAGGTGATAGGAAGGGGCAAAACATTAAAATCACATGGCTAAAAAGAAATTATAGTGCTTTGAACCTAACCAATGAGTCTCCCGAGGAACACAAACTTTATAAGACTAGAATGTATTTACTACTGCTTTTTGCATGTTTTTTATTTCCTGATACTAATGGTAATACTATTCATCTTCAATATTTACCATTATTAGAAGATTTAAATGAAGTAAGTAGATATAGTTGGGGAGCTGCTACCTTAGCGCATCTATACAGAAATTTGTGTAGATGCGCAATGAAAAATGTGCATAATTTTGCTGGTTGTGGTGTTTTGATTCAAGCCTGGGGATGGTCCAGAATGCCCAGACTGTCGCCGAGCAACCCCAATCCATATCACTTTCCATACGCAACCAAGTAAGTATACAAAAAAGTTTATGTATATATTCTTTTCATCTATAATTTTTACTAACTATTTCTTTCATAGGTGGTCTGCGTATGGGATGAATTACGAAAAAACTGCGCATCATTGTGCTCCTGGGTATCGGACGTTCTTGGATCATTTTGAGGAAGATGATGTATTGTCTCTAATCCCTTATTTTTTTACTAGCACTTTCCATTTTTTTTTTCTGATCCTTTTTTAATTATGTTATAGTTTATATGGAGACCCTATCTTGAACTTGAAGATGAGGACCCAACTGAAAGCGATATGTGGAGTTCTACAACGTTCATATTTTCTTTCACTTATGTTGAAATGCATCATTCAGATAGGGTAAAACTCCAATTCGTAATTAAACAAGACATTCCTGGTCCACCTACATGCATCGAGATGTACCACAAGAGTACGGCCAACGACCGATGGAAATTCGATAATTGGAGAGACCATAACATACAAGAACATCAGCACTGGATAAATCGTCGCCGCACTATTCTACGAGGAATTGTCATGGATACCGAATGTAAACCCAGTAGGGAATACATGTGTTGGTATAGATTTGTGACCAATTTTTATCTATCACAAAATAGATACTTGTGGGACCCTCGAAACCAACCAACTTCATCAAACTTCCAAAACTAACCAACTCCATCAAACTTCCAAAACATCCCTTCCATGACTTGTAACACCCAACCACCAATATTTAACACCCCACAACCAATATTTAACACCCCACAACAAATATTTAACACCCCATTCAACCCCAACCTAACACAACCACCTTATACCCCAAGCCAACACTACAATCAACCTTACACATCATTTAACCCAAACCCCTTCTACATCCAACAACAAAACCCAACCTCATCATACCCCCAATATAACCAATTCTCATTCTCTCAACCTACCCAACAAGAACACAACTACCAAACACCCCAACCACAAGTTCCTTTTTACCCTTCACAAAACTTCACCCTTTCTCAAGACCAACATCCATACACCCCCTACATGACTAACGCACTGCCACCTCTAAACCCACTAAGTTAGAGTAACGAGGGTACAAGAATAAGTTATGGAAGTGCGGCGGCGATACCAACTGACGACGATTTCAGTGATGATTTGGTCGCTGAATTCATGAACCCTAACAATGATGCAGCACCATCTACACAACCCCAAAACGTTGAGGTTGATCGTAGAAGGTCCACCAGAAATGTACAAGCTCCTGCTTGTGGAACCCACCAACGCTTACATCGACCGGGTCGAAATTAATTAAGGGTGATATTTATTTTAGTTCATTTATTGTATTTTATTTTAATGTATTTTTTTATTTCAAGAATAAATAAAAATTTATTTTAGTTTATTTATTGTATTTTATTTTATAATTATTATTATATATTTCAATGTAGTAATTTATTTTAATTACTACTATTTTTAAAATAATTATTTTTATTTTATTTTATTTTAATTTACTATAATTATTTATTTAATAATTATTAAATAAATATAATAAATAAAAAAACAATATAATAAATATAATTATTAACTAAATATAATAAATAATAAAACATTAATAACTAAAACGAAAAAAAAGAAATCTGACCAACACATTGCCGCCCATTGGAAGGGCGGCTGTCTTATAAATTGCACGTTGCCGCCCATTGGAAGGGTGGAAGTGCTTGACCAAAATTCCAAATCTGTTTGAAACTATGGCATTTTGGAAATTTGTGGTAAAAGTATGGTATTATGGAAAATAAGATTCAATAGAATGGCAGGGTGGAAAAATTTCCCCCAGCGAGACTTTAAGCCGACACAATCCCCAACGAGACGTTAAGCTGACAACACTTTTGGGATCCATCCGATAAATCTCCAGTGACTCCCAAGACTGTAGAGATCTCTCCGGTACGTTCCATATGTTCCACGTCCTTGAGGACCCACTCTTATGGAATCCTCCGTTCCTCAATGAAATTATCTTACTTTCCTCAGGAAACGCTCCCTAGAAGATTGTTGTACTCTCCCCAAGATGTCAGGATACTTTCCCCAGGAATGTCTGGTGAATTCTCCCCAGTAAGTATGATGAACTCCCCCCAGGGAAGTTTTATATACTTTATCCCCAGTCAAATATACCTTTCCCCAGGAGGTTGATGTACTATTCCCAGGAAGTTGCTACATTTATCCCGATGAAGCTGCCTAGCTCTACATCTGCCCCTGCGGAGGATATTTATTTTATCCCCGGAAGTCTCTAATCCTAAGATTTCTTTGGCTGATTATGATTCATGATGGCAATCCCTCCAGTGAAGTCATGATATCATACTCTCCAGCAAGGTCGTATCGTATCCCCTTGAGGAAGTCATGATACCATATCCCCAAGTAGATTATTTTCTCCCCGGGGAAGTTAGAACTTTGAAGCCAGATTCGGTTCTACCATCAACTTTTTCTATCCCGTGATAGATGTACCTTTGTAGAGATCACCGGGTATTCCCGTCGAGATGTTTATTTCATCTCATGTTTCCTCCTTTCATCTGTTTTGTCAGCATATGCACGAGGGTTAGCATAAGAATGAACATATTCATCGCATTTACCATACGCATTAACATACGTGTTAGCATTTGCATGTTTGTTATTCCTTGTCGTCCTTTGTCGTTACCTCCGAGTAACTGGGTTTGTCCGTTCTCTCCAAGTATATCGTCAACCCTAAGCATAAAATACCTACTCTTTTTCCAATTCCCCACAGAGTTCAACCCTCGTGGACGATGGTTATTTCAGTTATCTTGCCGCGTTAGGATAAGATAATCCCCATTTGAGTTCATTTCCTCAATGGAATCTTGTTCAATATATTTCTTTCTAGCTCAAGTCTAGAGTGAACCTCAGTCCTGTTGGTCGCCGAACCTACCGGGACGTGCATTTATTTTGCACTATCTTTCAAAAAGAGCTTACGCCACCTTTACCGATAAGCGACTTTTCTCTCCTGAGAAGCCTATCGTTACATTCTATAATGAGGCGCGATAATTTTCACCCGAGAAGCCTATCAGTACATTTTACATAGTAAACGACCGTTCTCTTTATTTGAGAATCTTATCATTACATTACAAACATTACAAACAGAGGTATGCAACTGTTCTCATCCGAGAAGCATTACATTACATTTTACAACAACCGGTA